CCAAGTTACGTGGGTCGCACCACCAGACGCGTGGCCGATCAAATGAGAGAACACCACTCAGCTTAGCTCAGTCGGGGACCGATAAAGGCAGGTGCCGAGATGAATCACACCTTGTATGTGCGGGAATCGTTCCGTCCGATCTATTTAATGACGGGGTTCCGGTCTAAGGATGTGAAAGTCCGATTGTTATATACAGCAGAGGCGATAGCAATTAAAATAAACAAACCCCCATTATGTGCACACAAACAGTTTGTTAAATCTCTTTCCTTCCCATGGCCATGTGTCTGAGATGCCCCCCGCCTAACACTTCACTGGAATATTCACACTCCGCGAGGGATTATCACCAATTATGCAGTCAGTGTTGAAACATCCCCCTCCTCCCTCCGAACCCTTCAACTCCCATTTCGCACATACTAAAACCGTGATTTGACTGTCTTTTTGTCTAATGTCCCTGAGTTTTATAATGTGCTGTATTTGGCCAGTAGATAAAGCACTGAAACCAAGCTTGTTCGCCACATCTCGGTTTCCTAATGAATCTATCGGAATTATTCACTCATTTGATTATTAAATTTGAACGATTATTATAAAATTTCGGGTATTTTATCACTTGATTTAATCTCCTTTTTTGCCTTGCACGCTCTAACAGTCTAAACTGTATAATTTTGAACTTCCTTTTACTTATGCTATCAAACAATTTCGTTCATGCATTTCTCAGCATTTGCAGTCACTTTTCTCCACACCAATCACAAAATGAATTATAAGTTTTCAATGAATGTTCACATTTTGATGCTCATCAAGGAGAGTGAAATCAAAGACGATTTTATTAAGTATTCATGTTTCTAACCGAACAGCTTTGTCATTTTGCATTTGTTCAATAGAGGACATGTGTGTCCGGGTGTTTTCCGATTCTGGACATAAATATCTCCAACTCCTCCGTCACAAAAACCATGGATGTTAAAGAAGAAAGAGCAATTGGAATGCGGAGGCGAGACTGTGTGCTTGATATAAATAGCGTTGCCACCGGCATATTAACCAAACTCTGAAATTTTAATGAAGTCTCTTCTATTTAAAGGATTGTGGACGTGGATAAAGGTCAGTGAACAATTGTTTAAACCCTCGACGGATCGATCACACGGCCGATCGAAGTGTGCGGAACGAATCGATTTCAGTCGGCCTGGCTAGTCTGACCGCAGAGCGAATCTGGGGCGCGCAATCACCCCTTTGGGCAGGCATTTGCGTAGGACCTCGACTGCTGCTTGTTGTTCGAAGCACAAAATTTGTGCATGCGTGTGTGTTCGTATCTGGAAATGAAATACACACTCACGCGGCCTTACCCAAACCTGTGGAATACGGGCTGTCAGTGTGGGCGAAGTGCAGAGAGCAACGCGTGTCAGCGGAATGAAAAACGTACTCTCCACTGAACGTGTCAGAATTCCAAGCACGGCAACACGGGTTAGCCGGATAGTGTGTGATGCACTTTTAATACAAAAATCGTTCGAAATTGTTTTTCGATGGCCATGCCATTAGGTTAGTATAGTTCACGTATCCCTTCTAATTGGCCACATTGAATAGCAAAGTGATAAGCGAGAGATATAACTAAGTTCTTCAGGCGGTAACTGGAAGCTAAATGTAAAGTACCTGGTTATCTCATAGGCAATCAGAGGATTTGTCTTCGGATTAACTGAACCAGACCTCGTTATCTCAGTTCAGGAAAAGATCATAGCAGTATGTTCTCACGCAACATAAATTCATCTATCCTCTTATCAGGCGGTTAAATGAACATCACTTTTTAATTTAAGTTTGAATATTTGTTGGATGATCGAAATTTGAAAACGAAAAGTTTTCATAAGAACAAATTCGAAAGGCAAAGAAATTTAGTTTCGGTGTATCGCTTCAGGCATTTGTATATATGATTCGATTGGTCAGCAGATTAATACAAGACCTAGGCTGATTCTGAGTGAATGAATGTCTGTGTACTAAATGTTTGTCTGACAGCAAGCTATGGGATCTGGTTCAGGCGTTAATGTTTCACAAGGCCATAAGAACAATTACGCACTACTCGATGTGACAACTGCTAATCTCTTCCCCCCTCCGTGTTTACCTTCTTTTTAGCACACTTTCATACCTGTTTTATTCATTCTTGACTAGTACCTTTTATATCATGTCCAGTTTACATATGTTTGATCCGGCAATTTTCTTACCCAATTATCGTGACCCCATAGCTTGTGGTCAACCGAACATTTTGTACACAGATCTCCATTCAACATCAGCCTAGGCCTTGTATTATTCCAGTGGCTAATCGAACTATATATGTAGATGTCAAAAGCGATATATCGAAACGAAGTTTCTTCTCTTTTTGACTTTGTTTTTATGCATCAATGGGAATGTTTCACAATTCGAAAATGTTCTATCAAATGCGTGTATCACTTTCAAGGCCCCACAGCTACCATCTTTAAACCGTGTATTTTTTTTACAACGTCCACCAGTGAAGGTGCGTCTTAATCGATCGTTAAGCGAATGTATGCTCTGTTACTACACTGTAAAGTTTCCTGATTTTCTTCCCGGAAAAAGCCTGAGTCGAATGCAGAACTCCTTAGGTTAGAGGAATTAAGTTTTGACCTCAAACATAGTAGAACTGACCACCGGGGTCTCACGCAACCACTGGCTGAAGGTTTTGTTTGTACATTCTAATTTTGGGACACCAGGTTCGACTATCAATTGCTTCGTATGTACGTTAGAATTGCATGGATCTATACTGAGCGAAAATTCACAGATTACAAAGCAGTTATTTGTTTAGGGGTGGAATATTGTATCAGGTTCTGTGTTTTTTCTTGAAACGTTCGGAGTACATCTCCCGTTTCTGTTGGATACTCCAATAACCCGTGGCTCTTCATTCCGGTTACAGCCTCAGATTATGACCTTTCTCCCTCTGATATCATGATAAAAAATCATTTGTATAAACGGGAAGTTGAGTAGGAATCCCAGCATTCAATTCCTTGGAGTTACTTTCGAATCAATCGAATAAGAGGTATAGTTTATTTTTCACAGAAATATTGTTGAATGAGTATTTCTTACAACTTATTGATTTTAATTTTCACTTCTATTTATCGGAAGTTTTGTCCCTAATTTAAAGTATCAAGTTTGGGTTAGCCCATTCGATTGTTCAGAAGCACCAGGTACTCCTGATGGTATAGAGTGTGGGTTTCACTCCTTGAGAGATCGTTTATTCCCTAAAGTTTGTAGGCATAAAATGCGATAGAAATGTGTGATAAGCGGTTGTACAACTGTTTCCTTGGTCAACTATGATGAATGATTTCCAACCGAAGGAATGCAGCCCAGTTTGCCAACATCAATCACATATTTGTTGTGAGATCCATTTCTGCTCGATTTCTACCGGTTTTGTTAAACAATTCTTGGTTTTCAAACTCTGACATTCAACATTGTTTTCTATTTGATCGTTTTGTGGCTTGCCGGAACAGATCGCATGGTTCATATTGATTCACGTTCGGTTCACTTGGTTCCGGATTTCAGATGATACTCTTTCCAGAATTTTTAAAATAATTTTTGCTTTCTTTTATTGAGTATACGAGAGTAAAATTTTCAGGAAGGAGGGAGCAACCAATCAAATGGCTACTATACAACACACAAATGGTGAAATTCAGGCGGTGGTAATGAGATTCAAACACTTGTACTCCGGGGTTAAAATTTGTGACGTTACCACCGGTCTAACACCACCCACCACCGCCCGGCTTTCATATACACATACGCTTGCCTCCTAGTGCCTCGTAGCTTTTCCGAACACGAACAACACTTTTGGATTAGCACAACATCAGCGATGGCCCCGTGTTTCGTGTATATCTCCTCAACACCACAACCGAGGTTTGAGTACTGCTTGCCCAAGACGGCAATTCGGATGCTAAGTTAAATATCAAACAAGTGAAGAGGTATACTTGATTTCTTTGTGCACTAAGAGCCAGTCGCTCTCTTGGGAATAGCTATACAGACCGGTAAGTGGAGGCGCTAAAAACTGGTTCGTCTGGTTGAGGTAAAAATTTAAATGAATCGGCCGAAGAGATGGCAATTCTTAATCGCTTTAATCAGTCTGAACAGATTCACTTCAGGATGGCATTGTTCACTGCAACAACTCCTCAACGTTTAAAACGGTTCATGAAATAATTAGTGAACGTTTCACGTTATACGCTTGAAATCTGATATTTTTGTTCTATCAGCCCCCCCCC